TAAGCTCAATTGTAAAATATGCCAGTGCATATGAATGACTTGTCAAATTTGGTACATTTTGTATTTTGGGTGCTGAATTTTTTTTTTTTACTTTAGACATATTGGCAGGATTATGAATGAAGTTTAGACAGAGCCAGGCTAGCTGCTTCTTCCTGATTCCAGTCTGGATGCTAAGCTAGAACAATCACTTTCTGACTGCAGCTATGGAGCAAATAAGCATATTACACAGAATGGTGGCCTAGTCCTTTAAAAACAACCGCAACATACCACTCTAACCTCCATATATTCATTACTATAGTACATAGTGTAAATATCACAATATATCCTTGCAGTACATTGGTACAAGTTACACAAACACACTATGGAAACAACTTATGAACTTAAGATAATTACTAGCACAATTTCAATCTTGTACATCGGTTCAAAATGTCAGTAGGCTACTACTTCTTGATACAGGACAATTTAAAGAGATATAAGCTGTAATTAATGGAGTTATTAATGCTAATACATCATTTACTAACATTTTATAGATCAGTTATAACCCATCAATAAGAATAATTTTTGAGCTTTGACACTGCTTTTCTTTTAGATCTCTATAATGCACTATTTGATTGTCTGCCCTCTGGAAATGAACTGCAAGACATCTAGACTAGCTTGAACAGTGTCAGTTTCTACAACCAGGCAAACTTAAAATTGTTCTTATAATGGCTTATTACTAAAGGTTATTATTACTGAAGTTATTAGAGCTGATAAATGCTTTGTAACATGTATCAAAGAGTCTAATGTCTTCAGTATGCTTCAGGCAAACAGAATCTGAAACTCCTGATTTGGGGTGAAATCTGCATCCAACTAATTTTCACATTTTCCAATGCAGGCAATCTGACAAGCATGCCCACGCCACACAGTGACTAGCCAGGTGGGTGAACTTCTCTCTGAAGCTGTCCTCCTCACACGACCACTTCCATTACTTTTTCCATTACTGTTGCACTGCTCTTACATCTTACATCGTACACTGAGTAACATTTGTTATCCTCAGTGTGAGGAAGGATGCTTAACTCTGACCATGCAGTATACATGTATCTACTGTATGTACTGAGCTACTGAGCCACTGGAGGGCTACACTGGTTCAATGGCCTGAAACTGAACTGATTAGTGTGAACTCTGTTTCACCCTCTGTCTGCTAATCTGCCACTGTCATCAGCCCTCTGCTTGTCTTCCCTTCCTTCTTTGGAGTCCACATCTCTCTCGCCTTTTTTTTTCTCACAACTTATTGATTCTGTAATGTTAACTGAACAGACATGTATAAAATAAATCATCAGCCCAAATTCAATCACACAGCTCACTAACAATTCTATTTGTAGTTGTATTGTTATAATGCTATAATGAAGTTGTGATTTCAAAGTACACAAACACAGGCAATCCCGGGACCTCTCTATCTCTGCTGGCTGTTGGACCCTGTTCAGATGCCTGGATGTTTCAGGACTCCAGGATTCTTATTTGTCCCTCTCTCCCTTATAGTTAGTTAATTTGTTTATTCACCTGTATGTTTTTTCCCCCCTCCTTGAACCGCCTTATTGTAGTGGAGGGGTTTGAGTACCCGAGTGATCCTAGGAGCTATGTTGTCAGGGGCTATTGTATATGCCCCTGGTAGGGTCTCCCGAAGCAAGGTCCTGGGTGACGGGTCAGACTAAGA